AACAATTACTTTTGTTAAAGCCTTAAGCCTTGTCTCCTTGCCATGATGGGCTCTTTTGTTATTGTCTTCACCAAGATGCTCTTTGTTTCAGATAATATCTCTCAACCAAAGTAATTTCTTGTTACCAAGTGTTATGGTAACAAGAATAATCAAGATAATACAATGGAGGTCAAAAGCTGGCCATTCCGGATTTCCAGAGCTGTGGTAACATGCTGGATTGGTTGGATAGGCAATACTTGTCCAATGGAGCTCAAATTTGGATATGTTGTAGTTAACATCCATTGGAACAAGTCTCATGAAGATCATGACCTCATCCGAGCACCAGAGCATGTTGATCCCAGGCCAAGAAGTTGACCTACGAAAATGAACAAAACAAAGTTTATAACCAATAATGCACTTTTAGCTCATTTTCATTCCAACCAAGGTAAAATCTAACAAAACACAAAAAGGAAGTAAAAAGCTATAAAATGTCAAGAACTAACTCAAAATAGTGGGTGAATAACATGAAAAATCATGTGTAAAAATGAACCGAACACAAATCTCCTTTGAACATATGTAAATTATCCAGGGAGAGGTGAATGGGGGAACACATTAAAATTTAGTGGTTTGCTGGTTAGGATTTTGGAGTTCAGATTCTGTGCTTTGCGGCATTTATGCCTGGCATATTAGTATTAGCATTAATCAGTCCTCTTCCTGTGTAGGTGTGCTTCACGAATGAATTTCAGAGTTCCATAGAAAAGATTAAAGACACTGAGGTCCGTCGGGAAGTGATTTCCTTGTTAACAAAGCTCTCTAATGGTTGGCGCCAATCTGACAAGGATAAAGGAGTTATGGTCCATGGTGGGACTTGTGCTAAACTCTTAGAGAAGTATGAAGTCAAAGGGCAGCTCAACCTCATGTGGTCTGTAGATGTTGTCCAGGAGAACTCAGATTATGTCCAGGTTTTGAAGATTTGGGATGTTCTTCCAATTTCTGATGCTCCCGAACTTGAGAAGCGGCTTGAGATCATGTTTTGTAGCTATACAACCGATAATATGAACCTCTGCATGCTCAGATGTGTTGATGGGTACGTACATAGGGGTTAGAAAAAGTTCAGGTTTAATAGAACAGTACATTTGTGATGATTGATTGAAAGTGTTCTGTAGTACATGGCTTAAATCATCCATTGTTTCTCAATTGCGACAGTGACGCAGTTGTTCCGATTAGATTGCCGGTGAATTCGAGCAGCTCCCATGAGGCTAAGGCTGAGGCTGATCCTGTTCCTGTGGAGGTTCTTTCAAAGCCATTGTCTTCACTCTGTCTTAACGGATAAGCCACAAACATCAAGCAATAGGTAGTTTTTTACTTTGCCCATCTTCCATATATATGACCGACTACATGTATTTTTAGTACCTCTTTCTCTTTCTAAATACAAGATATGTGATGTTATAATTGAAGTTCTGATTCCCTCATATAAACAATTTTCAGAAAGAATAATAATAGGTCCAGATGGAGATAAATAAGGCCACCTGGTTGAAGAGGTAATTTAATTAAGCTTTGCTTAGTTGATGACTAATGAGATAACTATTTCTAATTTCCTATTTTCTTCCTACTTACCAAATGAGGTAGAGTTAAATATTGGAAATGTTTCTCTCCATTTAAGTCATCTTTTTCATAAATAAACTTTGGTATATGTTAACACACAACTTTTGAACACGGTTTGCAGGAAAGAACCACCATCAACAATATATGTTGATCTTGAAGGTTGCGGCCATTTTTACACGTCATGAAGGTTGCGCTTGCGGCCATTACTGTTGTATTAATAATTGGCACAAATTAATGTGCTAATCATCCAATTAAAAATACCCGCAAATGTATGCATTTATTGGAGTATAGATTTGTAAATACGGGATCATTCCCACGGGGAATTGGAGGTTTATATGTAAATCTAGTTTGAGTACGTATATAATACTTATTTAACACAATCACAAAGGTAAGAAACAAATCGAATACTAGGAAAGAGTAAAGAAAGGAGCGAAATGAAACAAAAACAAGAAACCAAAAGAAAACACAATCAACATTTTGTATTACTCCTGTATCACCACTGTATCGCCACTTTATCACCACGGTATCACCAGTTTATCATGTTTTAGGTTGGAGATGAATTTATGAACTTCCTCTGTTTTCCAATTTCGACCTCTATCCCATTTTTGACTTGTAACTTTCCAACTATTAATCCAAATTTTATGTTTTTTATATGGTTGGATTCAGCATGAAAAACTAAAGAACTCAACATGGACCAAATGTCAAAAATAGTTACAGAAGTGTACAGAATTAAATAAAAAGTACACTCAAAGTTTCAAACAAAAAAGAGGTGGGTTTTGATTCAAGTGAACTAATTCTAACGCTTAAAATGTAACCAAACTCTAATTTTAACAAGACCAATAGAAATGATTATCAAAGTGTGAAATTAAAATGACAATGAACACTAGTATTTTCAAAATCCACCCTAAACAATCCTACTCATGTCCATGGATACTCAAGTTATGAACTCTAGATGCATTGATGAAGATGTTCGTAATCAAGACTAAGTTTAGTGGCTCAAGACGCATGATTCTCTCTAAAATAAGTAAAGACCATGTTTAGTGCTACAATACTCTTTAAAATAAGTAAAGTGCATGTTTAGTGCTAATCATATGAAAAGTTTGAAGAGAATATAAATATCACAAGAACCCTAATAGTATGGTGTTTACATTAGGCATTCAAGAAACCAATTCACATGAATGATTCTTATTTCATCTATTAGTTGCTTAGGAAAACATGAAGATACATATAATCCCAACAATCTCAAGAAGCATGCTTTCAAGGGTGATCAATCAAAGAAAACATACATCAAGGATAGATTAATTTAGTGAAGAGGAATTCATCAACAACATCTAGAAATAATAAAGTCAAGCATCAAAACAATAGAGTATTCATGTTTAGGGCTTCAACCTAAGCCCTAGCTATGGAGTTTAGTTCCTCATACTTATTACAAACACAAATTCAAAATATAACTAGAAAGAGTTTACAGATTTTGTAGAGATAAAGGCACAAAAGCTTTCAATGATGAAAGAGTTATTCTCCTCCTTTGTAGCCTCCTTGTTTGGCTGCTGCCCTTTTCCTGTCTCATATCTACAATGTCAATAATTGTTACCAAGAGGTGTATGTTGTTAATTATTATGTTAACTCGCAATTGTATGGGGCAATTAGTAATATAGCAAGACAAGTACGAGGTCATACCCACGAAGACTGAGAAGTTCAAATTAGTTATGTACGTAGATTACCGAATTCAAGAAGTTAGAAAGTTAAGTCTAAAATAGAAATTAAAGTGAGAGTGATTGTGATTGTGAAAGGAAGTGAGCAAACTGAAATTGCAAATGAAAGCAAATAAACAAGTGTAACAAAGAGTGGTTTTAAGAGTTGGAAAACAGATTTGGAGACTAGGGCATTCGAATCACCATAACAATTCAATTCTGGGTTATATGGAGTCAAGTAACAAGTCTAATTCAGATTCAAAGATTGATTCTAGCTAAAGTATGATTAGGCCATGGTGTTTGGTCCTAACCTTGTGTTCCTAATTCCCTAATTTGATCATTTGTTGTCTAACCTAAAATTAAGCATTAGGAACCCATTAAGCATAGAAGAACAATTTAAACAACCAAGCATGTATCTAATCCCTGTTGTCGAATGTCCATACATACTCTTCCTATTCATAGTTCAATTCGAATTAAAGCATGGTGTATACTCTTAATTCAAACCAAGATAGCTAACATGCAAGCCTAAATGGTGATCAATCATTCAAACTAGCATATTAACTTATAAGCATAATGAATAAGAACATGAATCATGAATCAAACTTGAAACTCCAAACTTATAAACCCAGAATATTCATGCTAGGTTACATCGAAGCCCTAGTTATGGATTTAGCTACACATAATGGAAAAGAGACTTGAACAGAAATGAAAAAACATAATGAATGCAATAAGAGTAGAAAAACCCTTCTTCTGAAGTTCTTGTGGTGTCCAAGGCTTCTCCAAGTGCTTCTCCACTTCTAATGCTTCTCCAAGAGCTTCCCCACTTCTCGAAAGATGTATGAAGGATATGGAGGTGATTTGCGATGAGTTTGAGTGAGTGGTGATGGCTAAGGAAGATGAAATTCGTAGGGAAATAGAAGAGAGGTTTGCTGGAGTTGTTTTGGTGATTGTTGGAGTGTTTGGGATTGTGAGAGTGTTTGAGAATGGTTGGAGTGAATTGTGGGGTTGTGAATCCCAAGATTTGTTGTCTTGAATGTGGAATGGATGTGGTATTTATACGGAGAGGGGAGTGATAAATCTGAATTCAATATGGCAAATGCATTCAACACTTGCATTATAAAATCTAAATTGGTTGATGCACTTCACTAATGCATACAACACGTGCATTATAAAATCTGAATTGGTTGATGCACTTCACCAACAAATTCCACCAGCAGCCCTAGCTCATCTTCATGTCACCATAACCAAGCTTCCAACCAGAAACAATAGCTCATCCTGAGGTCAGCATGACCAGCAACTTCAAGGGCTTACAACTTGGGCTAGGCTGAATCAAATGAAGACTTTAAGATATCCATTGTGAAGTTCAGAATGTGTATGATCCAACCACACAAGTATTGGCCCAATCCAAGCTCGGAGAAGGAAGTTAAGGCCAAAACAAATTGCTAACTCAGTTTGCTCGCTGACAAAATCCATCCTGAGCATGGATCTGTGTTTGCTAGGTGACGGACTCCAGATTTATCCAATGGGGCTGAATTTTGGATATAGACACCCAATTGAACAACTTCTATGAAGAATGTCTCCTCATCCGAATTGTGCAGATTGCTGAAATGAGACCTGCAAGGTGACTTACGAAACTGGACTGACAAGAAGTGTGGCCCAACTTTGGTTTTGTCTTTAAGCTCTTGCTCTTATCCCAATCAGCCCTTAACATGCATGGATTGCATCAAATGTGATCTCTTGCTATCTTAACCTACAAAACACACAAACAGAGGTAAGTGACTCAAAATAAAGAGAAACTAAGCAAAATCACTAAGTAAAGAAGGCAAGCAAGTGTACGAAATTATGGACTTATCAAAACAGAAAACGGATTAAAAGCACAAGTTTAACTCAATAACATAACCAAATCATAAGCTAGAAGGGTACAAAATGATATACAATTATGAACCGATCAGTGTAGTAACAATTAGAAGGGAGATGACACCAAGTAAGGGTAAAAGTTGACCCAAAACAGACTTCCAGAGTTAGGTCCAATGTTGGATCAGTTGGGGAGACTATACTTGTTCAATGGAGCTCAAATTCGGACATGTTGTAGTCAACATCTATTGGAACAAGTTTCATGAAGATCTTCCCTGCATCTTAGCACCGGAACATGCTAATCCAAGGCCAAGAAGTTGACCTACGAAAATGAGCAAAAACAGAATTTATATTCAATAATGCACTTTTAGCTCATTTATTCCAACTAAGATAAAATTTATAAAAACACAAAAATGAAGAAAAAAAAAACTTTAAAATATCAAGAACTAACTCAAAACATTGGGTGAATAACATGATAAATCATGTATAAAAATGAACCCAACAATTACATGATGATGAAGAAGTAAAAAGTACACATATATGTTGATTTTTTATTACTTGATTAGCAGTTCAATCAAACAATTACTTGGGAATTTATGAACCAATTATATTATATTACTTGATTGATAGCATTCTTCCCCATTGCTCCTCCCCTTTGTTATAACTTAAGCTAGATTTTTGGTGAGATTGACAATACATACTTATATAGCTCAAAACCCACCAAAATTGGCACCAATAGCGATAGCTGTTCAGAATATAAAATCTCACATGGATAAATTTTAGCTTTGAACTGGGCACTCGTTGCCAATTAATTTCGGGTTAGATGCTCTATCAAAACCTACAACACTTGTGTTAGATAGCTTAGTTGGTTGAGTTCTTCCATCTCCACTCAATAAATAGTTGTCCCTCCCCCCTCCTTCCCAATCGCTTGTACTATGAAAATAAAAAAAAACTACCTACAACACTAGTTAAATCTAACATGAGCCAATGTTTTGATTTTCATGAGCTAAAATCCCAAGTGAAACTCAAGTTTATTGATTAGCTTGCTTCCAATCTTGGTACTATCCAAAACTAGCACGCGCTTCAACTTACACATGATATCAAAAGCAAGCTTACCCTCTTCAAATGATTTCAAACTGTAAGGGAACATACATAAGAAGATGTCCTAACTTTTGTAACTTTACTATCCACTTGGAAATAACCTACTCTCATATTCACAAGTGGCCCTGTTCCACCCAAGTTTGATCCCCCTTCATAGCATGCTTTACACAAAAAGTTATTGGGTGTTTGGGAGTTTCGAACTTCTGCCTACATAGGTGGAGATGGATTAGCTCAACCAATAGACTTATTCCCCACTGTCGCCATTGTTAAAAACACAAATAAATAAAATAAAACCTAAATATAACTTGGATATCATGTGTTATGATTTATGGTTTCATAACAAACAAGAAATTATATACCTTTCATGTGTACAAACAAAACACAAGAAATTATACATCATAAGAACCTATTGATATTTAAAAGGCTTAACTACATCAATGCTCCTTGAAACTTCGGTCAAACCCCACTTTGCCCCCCTAAACTTAAAATGGCCCACTTTCATCCATTGTTCGAGGTTTAGTGACCCACTTTGCCCTATTCTGTCAACTACATCCAAATATTTGTTAACTTTGATGACGTGGATCATACATGGATCATTATATATTGTGGCTAATTTTTTTGATTTTGTTTTATAGTTTGTTATTTTAAAATTATTTTTAAAAATATATTTTTTATTTAATCCACGTGACATGATATCATCGGATATGTGTGTTTCACATGTTCACCAAGTCAACAATTTAACAGACTTTTGGACAGAAGTTAAAGACAAAGACTACTTAGAGCAAGTCCACCCATGAAGGCTAAGGCAAGGCTAAGGCAAGGCAAGGGCTGCCACTATTCACGTGAATAGTGGCAGCCTTGCCTTAGTTGGTTCCACCCTTGGAAGGCTAGGGCAAGGGCAAGAAAAAAAAAAGATTATGCAACAAAATATAAAAAAATTTAGAAAGTGAATAAAAATGTTATGTATTTATAGGAAAACATCCATAATATTTTGGTTTTTAAAAAAAAAAAAATTGAATTTTTTTGGATTTTTTAGAAAAATTTTTGAATTTTTTTGCTCGCTGACGTCAGCATGACATCAGCGCCTTCGGGCTTGAGCCCAGGCAAGATTTGCCCGTGGGCTTGCCCAGGCTGGTGGGTCCCATGCCTTGCCCGGGCTGGATCTCTCCCGCTGGACTCGTTTTTTGCTTGCCTGGGGGACCTTTAGCCCGGTTTGGCTCTATGGCTGGACTTGCTCTTATGAGCACGTTTCTTTGAAGACCACAAATAACAAAAAAGAAAATAAAAAAAAGAATGCAATTTGATAGTTCCATTAACTTCAAGGACGTTTTGCGATAAAAGACCAAAAATTAAAACAAAATAAAACAAGAATGTGGATCTGCTAGAATTTGATTCAGAGTCATTCTCAGGCCCAAAAACAAATTCATAATCAGGTTGAGACCATGCCCAAACTTCCCAGGCTAAGCCCAAACTAAAATTATATCCAATGTCAACCGTCGAGACTCAAAACCCCTCTCTCTCTTTCTATTCCATCTCCTCCATTTTCAACCTGTGTCAACAATAAACCCAAAAATCTCAAATTGATTTAGAGGTTTCCCAAGTTCACTCCCCCTTCCTCCAATGGCCTCCATCAACTTCAACCCCTTCGAAAGCTGGTTCAAGAAACCCCCAAACCCACTTCCGCCAATCAACCTCCTCTCACTCACAGACTCATTTTTCCACAGAACCACCCAAACAACAACCTCTCCCAATTTCTCTGCACTCAGCCTCTCAAACCTCTTCAAGGGCCCTCCAAAACCCGACCCGAAACCTCCCTCCGAACCCGAGAAACCAGGACCATACACCGAGATGCTGGAACAGTACTTCTGGGAATGCGAGAACGCACCAGATTACAGGCACGCCCCAGAAGTCGATAAGATACTGAGCGATGACCCAATATTCGAAAAGAAAGAGAACCCAACTGAGGAGGAGCTCAGAGCGAACGAGAGGTTCTGGAAGGAGTTCAGGGAGAGCCCAGTTGTGCAGTTCTTGGCTCGAGCTGAGCAGATTGCCGAGAAGATCAATGAGATGGAGCTCAAAGAGAATGACAGGCCGTACAGGGATGAAGATAAGAAACTGTGGCAGGCTGTGCCGAATATTATTGGGCCGGACGGAAGGCCCATGCCCAGGAAGGCCATAAAGACAAGGGAAGAGTCTGATGACAAGTTCTGGGATTTTGCAAGGCAGTTCTTTTTTGGGCTTTGGGGGTTCCGCCAGAGGCCTTACCCGCCCGGCCGGCCTATAGATGTTGCTCAGGCAGTTGGGTATAAGAAGCTTGAGAAGCGCTACTATGACTGTAAGTTTGTGTGATTAAAGCTTTGTGGTTAAAAAGCATGAACCTTTGAAGAATGTGTGTTTTTAGTTTGGTTTAGCTGTATAGTCTAGTGAGTTTATGAAAATGACTTTCTGGTCTTGCTTAAACCTTCTGATTGTTTAATTGTTAGCTTTTGGAATTGGCTAATTGTATTTTAATCACAACTCATTTGCTTCTAATTAAGTGCAGCTGTTTTCATTCACTTACTACTGAAATTCTTTGTGGTTTGACGTGTGTTGAAGTAATACATCATACTTCTATTGTTTTGTTAACCAGTGATTCTTCTACTCAAACTCCTTACTGACCTTCTGCATGTGTATTGGACAGGATGCATTGCGTGATGTTTGTTTGATTGTTATTCTGCATGTGTTGTTCATAATATTGATGTTATATGGTTTTTATAGTTATCATGAGGAGTGGTGGATGGTACTATAAGGACCGGTTGGGCCGAACAAGGGGTCCATTGGAGCTTATAACTCTTAAAACGGCTTGGGGTGCTGGGATTATTGACAAAGATACATTCATTTGGGGTGAGGACATGGATGAATGGGTTCCTGTTCACATGGTTTATGGGTTGGAACCTGCTATTGCCACTTGGGAAGGTCTGCTTGTTTCCTTTTTCACCCAACATCCATTTTGTATTATTTAAAATTTTTACGACTGATAGGAGTGTAATAATCTAATTCTGTGTTTTCAACAAATTGATTCTTCGCTTGGTGATCTTCAGTTAGACTTGGGGCTGCTGCAACTGCTTTTATTCACAAACTACAAAAAGGAATTCCTCCTTGGGTTCCACTCAAGGGACATGAGAAAAAAACCTATAAGCAGCTACAAGAGGAGGCTATAGAAAGCAAGAGACGAGACTTAGCAGTACTTGAAGCTAATGATGGTGTTTGGCCAGGCGTTAGAATTCCGAGTCATGCTCTATTTCTTTGGGCTAGTGGCTCTGAACTGACAACAATTTTGGAAGAGGATCACATGCCGAACAAGTACATTCCAAAAGATCTTAGGTATGCAGTAGCAGTAGCATTTGGTGACTGACGTCTTGCAATGTAAAATCATAAGTAAATTTTCTCGTCTCTATCTAATGTTTCGTCTGTTTGTGAGCAGAATCGAATTGTCTAAAGCTATCCCTGGGTTAAGGCCATGGGAGGTTCTTAGTGTGGAACAAGCAATGGATCAGATAACATATGAGGGAGAGTGGTACCGCGAACCTCTTGGCACCTACACGACAGGTCCTCCATACATTCGACATTGGAATATGGATGTCAAGGTACAGAATTCCTTCTTAAATCAGTTGTGGATAAATCGTTAGTTTCCTTGAGTTTAATGATTATGTTCAACTTCAACTAACAATTGTTAAACTAAAGATCACGCACTATCAATTTGAAAGAAAAACCTTATTGCCTGTTGCTAACTAAATTGGTTGTGTTATGTAAGTTTTCTTTATTTTTTAGAATTTTGAATCCTGGCTTTTATAACTGAAGTATTTCTCTAACAAACTTCCATCAGTCAATCACCCAAGGAAGCGAAACGGATATAATGTTTTGTGAAAATATGCTATGGGGATTTGTTTGCATATTAGTTCCTCAACCTCTTTGGACATTTTGCATAAAATTCCTTCTTTAGGGATGTCCATGTACTTCTATTAAACCTTTCTCTGTGTGTGTGTGCTCGCAGAGACTCTATAGGATTTTTGCCAACCTAAGCACCCGAGTCTACCAGAAAATGGAGAGAACAATTCCGGGTTTCGATAAAATAATGGAGAAAGTTCAAGCTGATGCTAATTCAAGGTATGCCAGACGGAAGGCGAGAAGAGAGGCAGAGAAGAAAGCCGCGTTGGAAAGATCCTTGGGAGTTCAGAGTAATCCTTAACTTTAAAATCCCACCTTCACTTCATGGTGATAGCTTTGAGAATATACTTGTGAATGCATGGGAGGATGGTAAGGTTAGATATGAAAAGAGACTGTCGTCGTTTTGTGCTGCCAAGATCCTCTTTCACTCTGAGTCGATTGTACCTACAGCCATCTAGTTTCAATTTTTGTAATAAACCCTGCATCAAAAAATTTCTTTCTTTGTATCAAACCATTTTTAACATGGAAAGTATGCGATCCTTCTCTTAACTCAATGTCAACTTAAGTGAATTGTCTATTTATCTATTTGCAATTGAAATTTGGTTCATAATTGAATATTTGGGTTGAGAGAACACTTAACCCAAATATTCAATTATGCAAAAGGACCTCAACTTGGTGCAGACTGCAGCAATGGTGTTTTTCTTATGATTTCCCCATTCCAATTTTATCCACTTACACTCCTTTTTTAGTTATAAAATGGAGTGTAAGGGGATAAAATTGGAGTGGGGAAATCACCATTCTTCTCTTTTCTTTCTGCAATTTTCATGGGGGTTAACGCTTTGCAGAGTCTATGGGCTTCAACTTTGGTGCTCAAATCAAATCCGACAAGAAGTGTTGCCCAACCGACCTTATTTGGGGATACGCCATGTAATGCAAATTGTGACACGTGGTTTCTCTGGATTGGCATTTTTTCAGTGAGACATCCTTTACGATGAACGTGTAACAAAACCATAGCTTGTCATTAAAAGAATCTGCTTTGGACGAGGACGCTTGTCCCCTTTACATAAGCTGCGCCTGCTTGCCCCATACCATGTAGGATCTGTGTAAAGGAACAGAGAGAGAGATAGATATTTGTAAACCCCAAAGATCAGAAAGAAAAAGATAGAGAGAGAGAGATGGAGGATGTTATACCAGAATCTGAAGGCTTGTTGCTTCCATTGAATCTGAGCCCAAGAGGAGGTGGTGGAGCCAAAGCTGAAGGCGGCCATCAGGAAGCTAATGGAGGCGAACGCAGGGAAAGTGGAAGTGAAGTCAGAGAAGTTGAAAAAGAGAAGGCAAGCATGAACGCAGGAGATGAAGGTAAAGATGAAGAGAAAGGAGGTGGGCTTATAACCCATCTCATCTCCATAGTGTCACCAAGGAGCACTCCAAAAGCAGGGGAAATGGCCAAAAGAAAAGTTGAGTTTGAGGTTGAAGATGATATAGGAAATGGGGGCTTTTCTGATAAGTCAAAGCCAGAGCAAGATGTGGGCTCTGGTAGTGAAAATAATAGTGGAGGGGTTATCTCAAATCTCATCTCCAACTTTTTTAATCAGGGTGATGGTGGTGGAGGAGGAGGAGGAGAGAATGATGAGGTGGACAAAGAAGCAGAGAAAGTGATAAAGGATGTTGGAAATAAGAGAATGAAAATGGTGGAGGAGGAGAAAGGAGAGGTGGAGGGTGGTGGAGGAGGAGGAGAGAATGATGAGGTGGACAAAGAAGCAGAGAAAGTGATAAAGGATGTTGGAAATAAGAGAATGAAAATGGTGGAGGAGGAGAAAGGAGAGGTGGAGGGTGGTGGAGGAGGAGGAGGCATCTTTGATAACTTTGTCTCTCACTTGCCTACATCTCTTCCAGGTCAGCCCTAGCATTTTATTTAGGCATTTTTATCTCATTTTTGGGAATATTAATTTTTATGAGGTTTTGAATGTAAATTGACAATATTGTCACATAGTTCTCTGTTCTAATTACCAGATGATGCAGCTCCCTCGACTGACGAAGCCTCCATTCTCATTACCTCAATAGTTCGAGACTAAGCAGATGATAGAATGTGCCTGCCAACTCTGCAAGTGGCTAGCTTCTTTTTTTTTCTTGTTCTTCCTTGTATGTTTTCACGTAACTTGTTGTTTTTTGTTTTCAATTTGTAATGTTGTTGTGATTTGGTATCAAAAGCTCCATTGGTAGTATAAGTATGACTTATGGAAAAATCTCTATCACCGTCTTCATTTTTACTCTGGCACATAGGGTGGGCAAAGCCCAAGTAGCCCCAAAAGCATCATCATGAAGTAAGCCCAAAAGTGGAGATCCAAGCTACACTCGACTCAAATGGCCCCAATTCAAACTCTGCATTTTTTGGGTTATTGACCCACAACCAAAATGTTAAATTTTTTTTGGGGACTGATTTTCCCACTCCTTTTTTATCCACTTACTCTCTATTTTTCTAAACAAAAAGGAGTGTAGGTGGATAAAAGGGGATTGAGAAAATCATTTACCTTTGTTTTTAGGTGCCGAATTTGGTTTGAGATTGGATGATGAATTATTGATTGAGTGGCAGTGGGTGAGATGTCATGGAGAGTGTAGTTGAAGACCACAAATACCAGAAGCTATTGCATGGCACATGCTTCAGTTCCTCCACTACTAGCAGTGCCAAAAGGATTAAGTGGCCAAAGAAAGCTATATGGCCTTTTGGACCCTTTGGTTACACATTTTACTCTCTTCTAAATATCTTCTTTTAACTTTATGGGGCCAACGGATGAAAAAAGGTCTTGTAGACTAGTGGTCTTATATTCGAATTTTTATGACACCTTGGTAGAGGGTGTATACGAGTGTGAGGAATCCTCATTTCCATGAAATTTAGACTATCGCTTGTAATTATTATTATTATATAAAAATAAAAATAAAGACCTTTATGTTACATGGCATTTATTTACACAAAACTACCTACTTATTAATCTTACAGATCACATCACTGTTGGACCAATTAAAAAGAAAAAAACAAGTGTAGAGGCACAAACTAGATGGCATTGATAGAAAATCCAACTAACCGTTTGACTAGGGACCCATACACTTCCTCCGATACTAGAAAAATGAGAATCTTGGGAACCAAGGATATGTGGGGAAAGCAAAAATCCAAAAGCAACTCTCCTACTCATTGTCCCTTTCTTCCCAATAAAGATTTCTCATTCCCTCCATTAAATTATCAAATTTAGTTACTGTTACAGTTCACTATTCTTTGATTAAATGGGATTTGCCCAAATTAAGTTTCTTAGAATTCCATCCACAAAATGTTTAAACATAGCTTTAGACTATTACACCTAATTTCTCAATTTGGGTAAAATCCCATCTGTTATACAAAATGGAACCAATACGTATTGCCAATTTTAGGCCTAGATCCTATATGGTTGATCAGATTGACATTGGAAGCAAAGTTCAATTGGGATGAAACTATAGGCCCTTGGTTTAAAATGTGTAATGGTCCAATCAGAGTGCAACAAAGTTCTGTGTCTTGATGAGTGTTTTTTAGTGCTATGTCTATATGCGTTTTGTTGTTTTGCCGTGATATTATTAGTATTTTAGTCGGGGGAAGTTTGGACTAAACTGAAAATTCCAACATATAAAATGGAGAGGAGGAGGGGAAGGAATAGGAGCCATGTAAAGATGATGGGTTGGAGAACCTGGATGTGCTTCAAGCGATCCTTCCTCCTCCCAACTAAGTGCTTTCTTCTCAAGCTTACTTCACGGTCAAGAAACAAAGCCAAAGGTAAGTTCAAGTTTCACACAATCCAATTGCACAAAACACACTCTCTGTCTCTCTGTCTCTCTCTTCTCTGTCAACCCTTTTCTGAGATGTGGCAGAAATTGCAGGAAATGGACATGGATTGGTGAGTCTGTACAAAGACATGGAGTCTTGCGGTGAATATGAAGATATAAGAGTGATGTGGGAGATAATTCACTCTTGTCCACAGAATACTAACAGTAGTAATAGGAGGAAGAGGTCTTCCTCTCATTGGAGATTCTGTCTTCAGCCTACTTGAATTTTGTCCTTCTTTCTTAAGCAGTTGGCTTTGGTTTAAGATCTGTCACAGCTTTGATTATGCAGGATGTGACTTGTAAATACCAGTATCTGAGTGAGTATAGATGATAAGTTGCTCTGGATTTTTCATTTTTAGTGTTTGTGGAGCACAATACTTTGTAGTTTAAGAACATCAGAATGAGATTATTTCAAATAAGCATCTGGCAACATCCACTTAATCATAATAGAACATAATTTGTACACATAGCCATAGGATTGCTAAATTCTGAACTACAAAGCCTTTGACATGATAGGAGGTCAAGAAGTTCGCCTAATCCAAGTCGCTTCTACTATCAAATATCACTCCTGCAATGAAACTTTCACTAGACAAGTTCGAAGAAATCGATCCCTTCAATCAGCGATTTTGCACAGCAGTAAGTTTGTTCTGACATGTTGAAGGCGGCTATCTGAGTTCGCACTCTTATCAGCTTCCTAAATAATTATACATAATTCTGGAGAGAGAAGACTCCAAGACAATTTAAGCTCCCTCATGAAGGAGCGTTTGATCAAAGTGCCACACTCCTGCAAGCCACCAAACAGCTCATTTAGAGTCCATCAAGTAAGAGTGGTGAGGAAACAATTAAGTTAAGGAAAATATGATGGTGAAGAGTTGAACTATGAAATCTACTTCATACCATGGCCTTTTCCAACCCTCCTCAATTGAGTGACATATTCAGCTATCTTCTTAATGGCCTCAACCTGTACAATAGATACGATAGTATGTGATTAGTCAGTGTTATAAGATTAAATAATTGTTAACCACCAGCCTAAACTTAAAAATTTTAAGTCATTAACAAACAAAATTTATCACCCCAGCTTGAAAAGTTGTTCCTTGGTGTTATTGCAGAAACTGTTTTCTTCTGCATTTTTAATTGCTTTCTTCAAAATGAATCTCACTCAAACTAAGAACCCAGTGGCTGTTATGTCTAGTATAGAGCAGAAAATGTGTTTCACCTGCTCAGTCAGAAACTCGCTCTCGATAAAATCTGTCATTTGGGCATCATTGTTATGCTCTGCCACCTGTTTTTGATCAGCAACAAAACAAGAATATATCTTAATAAGAAGAATTTTAAACAAATAGAAAGAGTCAAATAGAACCCAGGCACCCCATGAGCTATGTCAATGACCTCAAACAAATCTCATATGATAGAGATGTATCACCTTATGCAAGCTTAAGAGCTTTTCATTTGTCAGCTTCTCCAAAGACAATGCTAACTCCATAGCTGCATCAAGGACAAGGAGTCAATGAAAAATAAGTTATTCAGGTAGGAGACTAATTTAAATCCAAGAAAACAAAACCCCGAACACAGCGCGGTAATAGTAAAAGAAAATCTTTGTCAATCACAAGAAATTATCAAGAGTTCAGAGATGTTGACAAAGGAAATAAAAACAAATAAGCATGTAGAAGATATAAAAGTTTACAATCTTACCATACAATGCATCTCCCTTCTCTGCATGATCAAACTCTGAAGGGGGCTCTATTATGGAGTGTAGTTTTACTCTTCCACCTCGTGTGTTCTGAGCATAATTGATAATAATACAATCAGATCTCCAAACCAAGACCAAAACACATAAATAAAACTTGTATCTTCTTCATGAGGAAATTAAACAAGACTGCAGAGTATTGGGATTAACTTATACCTGATATTCCATTAACTTTTCAGCATGCTCTCTTTCTTCCTCGCTTGATTCCTTGAAAAACCTGATTGCAACATAACCAATTAATCATGGATTAATTAAATTCATTAATAAAAAATAATATATATATATATAAAAACCCTTATGCAGAGGGGTATTTTGGGATTTGTGTTTACTTGGCAAGGCCCTTGAGAGCAATATTGTCTCTGTCAAAGTATGCAAACAGGGCATGGTACACATATGACACATTGTATTCCACACTGTTACACAAAAACAAAAGCATATAATCAAAACAAAAAGCAACAACATTTAAAATTAGGGTATATTTTTACTCAATACACATTGAGTTAAATTAAAGCATCAATCATAAAAAAGGAAACAATAATAAATCAAATTAAAATTCCAACAACAAGAAGAAAGATACACACTTGATCTGCTCGTTGATTGCAGCTTCAGACTCATCTGCATAACGCTGGCGAGCAAGAGATAGCAGAGGGGACACAGGAACAACAAAAGCATCGCTCTTGACCTCTTCAAACGGCTCAAACACCACCCCAGTCAGCGCCACTGTCTTCGTCTCGTTCGACGCGGAAACCGCAAACTTGTTGATCTTCCTCTGCTCACTGAAACTCAAAGAAAAAGCACGGCTCAGAGCAGAGGAGGAAGATCCAGCCTTTGAGCACAGCAAGAGGCTGCTTATAGCACCATCCCCTTGTTTGTTTGGGATGGAAAATGTTGAAATAAGCCTCAAAGACATTGTTTTTTTGATCTAAAATCAGATCAGCTGAAATGGGTTTTGGAAAAGCAGAGATTTTGGAGCAAGAATCTGGACTGAAAATTGGAGAGGAGGAGTTGAAGAGTGGTGTGAGAGGCTTAGAGGTGGCTTGAGCAAATATATAGCGATATGGTGGAAAGCCAGCTGGCATGGGCTTTATTGTGGGCCGTTGGATTGGAAAATACGTAGATGGTTGAGATGATAACATGTGTTTAGGCGTGTGGAGACCTCGTGGTGGTCTATCCAGTACCACAAATATCGTGGAATCTACCATAAATTCCGCTCCACGTTGCAATCTTAGCATACTAAAAAATTTGTCTTCTTTACGACCTTTTTCTCAGTCCCTCGAGTGTGGTATGTAGACTTACTCGCGATATCAGTCGCCGAAACTGTACGGAAAGGACATGTTCGTAAAATGAGAGACTTTTCATGGGCGAGTAACCTACTTGGCATGGTGAGCTTTGAAAAGCTTCTAGTCCGTGACCAAATAGTAGACGGCTCCTTTTGAAAAGTATGAGATGTAGAAAAAGCTCGAAGCTTCTGTACAGGAAAATGTAAATAAAAATAATTTAAAATTTCAATTAAAAAGGCCAAAATAAAAATAAAATAAAATAAATAAAAGGGTAGTTGAGTTATAACTTATCAGGTGTAATATAGATTGAGATTTTTGGAGGGACGTTTACAATATACATGGATTTGGGTGGGCAAGGAAATTAATTGGGTTTCCCACTTACTTTCCGCTTGTTTTGTTAATGGGCCAAAAGCCAGCCTGGAGATCCGTGGACGTTGGTTTTGACTGGACTGATTTTAATAATTCTAATTTTTTATGTTCTAGGCTCGTCCAGTCCAGGTCACAATTGCCCGCTACACGAGGGTGAACCATGTCAAATGAAATGGGTGTGTATACAAATATTTGGGGATGTTAGGCCATCTCCAGTCATGGGCTATATCCCAAATATAGCCCTAAAATAATGCAAAACTCATCTCCAGTCATGGGCTAAATAAAATTTTGGCCAAATTTGGAGGGCCACATTTGGCCCTTTAGCCCTCCAACCAGGCCACATATAGCCCACCTTTAGTTTAGGCCAAATTTTTGTGGGCCCATGCATTTGCTTTTTAAAAGCCAACAATAAAGTAAGATGATGTCATAGCTGGCTATATATAATAAAATATGAAGGATCCTAAAATATAGCCCTGCATGGCTGGAGATGGAAAAATTTAGCCCTGCACTATTCTTTAAAAAATTAATATTTTGGAGGGCTAAATTTTTAGCCCTGGACTACATTTAGCCCTATGACTGGAGATGGCCTTAGGGTACCAGGGGTCTTTTGAGAACGTGTAGAGGGTTCAATTTTCTTAAACACAGATGGATGAAATGAGCTGTTGAGGAGTTGAATGAGATGCCAAATCTTAAGTTGTTAATTTATGAGGAAAGGTGCATGTCCTAATGGAAAATTGGTCATGGAAGACATTAACTCTCGCTAAAAACCGACCATCATATCCAAGTCAGTCCACCAAACGAGTGCTTTCAAGTTTGTTACATAACTAAGGCCAAGAGCCCAAAAGGCCAAAAGGCTATGGACAACATCAGAAAACAAGCATACCAATGAGTTACGCAAGGAATCAGCAACATGCATGCTCCAAGTTGATATCAGACATATCAGCTTTGTCTGATATGGAATGAGGAACCTTCACCTTAGACATTAATGTCGACACCATGCACATGTATGATGGATGTGTGACTATATATATATATATATATATGTTATATTATGTATATTTACATGATGTTGAACAGGCAATCTGTATTTTCAGAACACTCTCCCTTTCTACCTTCACAGCTGATAAAGTCGTAAACCACGACGGAAGAGTTTTTGTCCTTTTAAGAGCCACAAAATGTCTCACAATTTTTGTTTTATTACCCCTCACATGATATATTCTCCACTATAATTTGTCCTGGGCTAGTGTCTTTGATCAATTAAGATTTATTATAATTGAATCCCAATACATTCTCCCGTCGTAGTTATTATGGGAGCCTCATCAGGGGATTGTTTCCCATTGATTTGAGATATTCTGGCTCTCAGATTGAATTGAAATGCGAAATTTTTTGAGAGTGATGGAAGCTGATTGTGGTAAGACTTTGTGTGCATGTGGACACAAACCAAGATTGAAGCTTGTGGTTAGCACAAGCATGGCATTTCATTTTGTCCTTAAGCTTATGGAATTGTCTTCCTCTCTAGAATTCACAAATCACTCAATTTTATGTGATTTTTACAGAGTAATATTCCCTAGATAATTCTTCTTTCTTTCCCTTATGGTTCGTATTTTCTATCATCTTATTTATGTCGGTCCAAATTCTTTCTGAGAATGTAAAGGTAAAGAGTCTCATATTGGAAAGTTGAGAAACCTAGCAATGGCTTATAAGGAGTTGGGCTATTCCCCCCATTGCCAATTGGTTTTGGGATGGAACCTCAACTTCCTTCACTTTCTTCAATCATGATTTATAAAAAAACATAAATCTTATAAGGGGTTTGTAGCTCAAGTGGTTAAGAGCATTTATCTTTGCATCCGAAGTCATAGGTTCGATTTCCCCCTCCCCAATATTGTGTGTATAAAAGAAAAAACATAAAACTTCAATTTGGTTGCAGTTACTGCAACTCCAAGTTTGAATGTCGAAATGGTTTCTAATTTGTCTAATTTTTTATAAGGATGATCTATGAATGTAGACTTAAAAAATAGATTGTTTGGATTGTTGAAAAAAAATTTGTAGGGTACCCTAAAGAATGTTCCTTAAATAAAATTATTTGAAATATCTCTCAATAAAAAGAGGACTAATATACCTATGTGTATATATGTTATATTATGTACATTTACGTGATGTTGAACAGGCAATCTGTATTTTCAGAACTCTCTTCCTTTCTCCCTTCACAGCTGATAAAGTCATAAACTACGACGGTAGAGTTTTTGTCCTTTTCAAAGCCACAAAATGTTTCACAATTTTTGTTTTACTACTCCTCACATGATACATTCTCCACTATAATTTGTCTTGGGCTAGCGTCTTTGATCAACTAAGATTTATGGGTTAATTACTCAAATGGTCCCCAAATTTATACGCGATTTACATTTTGGGGCATGAATTAAATTTTTCATTCAAATGGTCCATCAACTCTATATTAATTACTCAAATGGTCCCACCGTTACATTCTGTCAATATTTCCGTTAAATATGAGGGCAAATTGGTCATTATTTACCCTAAAATTTGGTTAAATTTAACAGAAAATTAGACGGTGGGACCATTTGAGTAATTAATATAGAGTTGATGGACCATTTGAATGAAAAATTTAATTCAGGCCCCAAAATGTAAATCGCGTACAAATTTGGGGACCATTTGAGTAATTTACCCAAGATTTATTATAATTGAATCCCAACACGTACGGCTGCGGAGATGACACGTAGCACTCCCGTCGTAGTTATTATGGGAGCCTCATCAGGGGATTGTTTCCCATGGATTTGAGATATTCTGCTTTGAGATTGAATTGAAATGCGAACTTTTTTGAGAGTGATGGAAGCTAATTGTGGTAAGACTTGTGTGCATGTGGACACAAACCAAGATTGAAGCTTGTGGATAGCACAAGCATGGCATTTCATCTTGTCCTTAAGCTTATGGAATTGTCTTCCTCTCTAGAACCCACAATTCACTCAATTTTATGTGATTTTTAGAGAGTAATATTCCCTAGATAATTCTTCTTTCTTTCCCTTATGGTTCGTATTTTCTAACATCTTATTTATGTCTGTCCAAATTCTTTCCTCAGTCATGCTTGATAAAGAACATAAACCTTGTAAGGGGTTTGTAGCTCAAGTGATTAAGAACATTTATCTTTGCATTTGAGGTCATAGGTTCGATTTCCTCCTCCCCAATATTGTGTGTATAAAAGACAAAACATAAAACTTCAATTTGGTTGCAGTTACTGCAACTCCAAGTTTATAGGAAGAAATGAACTTTGGGGTGTCACTTATTGCAATTTACAAACACTCTTTTCAAACGCCTAGTCTAGTCCACTGAAATGGTAACAGAAAACCAGTTTTACTCTATTTAGGCACATTTTAGTATCTCCCAGTTACAAAAACAGGATCTTTTCTGATTCTCATTGATCTCTCAAAGACTCGATTTTGATTACTTTCTTTCTCTCTCTCATTCATTCTAATCTTGATATGTGTAAATGTAATTCAGTCTTTTTCTCTCTCTCACATTTTATCTTAAATCCTCCCACAACCAAAGCTCTCTCTACATGGAGACAACCCAATACTTCTCTTTCAACCAGAAAGCGATCTGCAAACCCCAATTATTCAGTCCCTCTTTTAAACTCTCCTACCCCATTTCCACTCTCCTCCACCACCACCACTGTTCCTCACCATGGCCACTGATGCCTCCCCTGCATTCAGAACCGTTCCTCAATCCCACGACTTCCACCCCGAAATATCGGTATCTCCATCACCCACCCACGACGGCCTTGAGTTCAGGCAGTTCATGATTGCAGGCTCCATAGCTGGCCTAGTTGAGCACATGGCTATGTTCCCAGTTGACACCCTCAAAACCAGGATGCAGATTCTTGGTGGGTCTTGCTCTGTTCAGCCAATCGGTGTTCGACAAGCCCTCGGATCGATGTTAAAACTTGAAGGCCTTGCAGGTCTCTACCGTGGGATTGGAGCAATGGGACTTGGTGCAGGACCTGCCCATGCTGTTTATTTCTCAGTTTATGAGATGTCCAAGGAGTTTTTCACACGTGGGAATCCAAATAGTTCAGCTGCGCATGCAGTTTCTGGAGTTTTTGCAACTGTTACAAGCGATGCTGTGATCACGCCCATGGATGTTGTGAAGCAGAGGTTGCAGTTGCAGAGCAGCCCTTATAAGGGTGTTGCAGATTGTGTGAAGAGGGTTTTGGTGGAAGAAGGAGTAGGAGCTTTTTACAAGTCGTATAGGACCACTGTTGTGATGAACGCCCCATTTACTGCCGTGCATTTTGCTACATATGAAGCTGCGAAGAGAGGGCTAATGGAGGTGTCGCCGGAGAGCGCCAGCGACGAGAGGTTGGTGGTTCATGCCACTGCTGGTGCAGCTGCTGGGGCTTTGGCTGCTGCTGTCACCACCCCTCTTGATGTTGTGAAAACCCAATTGCAGTGCCAGGTTAGAAGCTTTGTTAATTTATTGCTTCAGCATGCAAGTTTTTAATCCAAATGTTATGGATTTCATTGGGGTTTGAATGCAAAGTCTTGATGTTGTTTTAGTAACTTGCAAGTAATTGAAAGCATGCCCTGAGTGATTAAGTTTGGGGATTTGCTTTAAGCTAAATTTATTATGAAGTTATGAACCAAACTGTTCTCTTTTCACGTAGGGTGTGTGTGGATGTGATAGATTTTCTAGCAGCTCGATAGGGGATGTTATTCGAAGCATCGTGACGAAGGATGGATATCAAGGGCTTATGAGAGGTTGGGTTCCCAGGATGCTCTTTCATGCTCCTGCAGCTGCAATTTGCTGGTCTACTTATGAAGCATCAAAAACCTTCTTTCAAAAACTCAATGGCAGTGAGAGTTGCAGAACCTGATCAGGTAACATTCAAGGTTGCATACCTGCAGAAACCTCAACTTGGGTTCTCAATTCTCATCCTGGAGCAGCAGCATTTGTAGTTACACATGCACAAAATCAACTCAGTCCAAGCCCTTGTTCATGTAAATGCCTTGTTCAAATGCACATATACTGCAGATTTATGTGCTAAAAACAATGTAGATATAAATTATCAATCGAAGGGGGAATGATCATTCCCAGCTTCTAACTGGCTTGGCAAAAATGAACTATTCTTCATGGATTATATGCTCGGGTGCTACTCCATCTATTTTATTCTACATATTATAGGTGCAAACACACGAACGTTTTGAGACAAACGAGACAAGAACATGGCTAATCTGGTCAGTGTCACAAATTTAGCCAATTTCATCTATGTGTTTTTCTCCGTTCCTAAATGTAGTTATTTCCATCTCAGTTCTGTTAAAATAAATTCTTAAACCATTTTTAAATTACTAAAACCTTCTAGTTATGTACCCGCACAACTTTTTGAGAATAATATTACTTAAATGGTATGGATGGGTACCAGAAATTTGTCTACAAGGACACGGTAAAGTATTCGAACCAGAATTGGCCGTTGGCTGATCACTGCATCAAACATTAGAGAATGTTCAACCCACCATACAGGAGAGAATATTAACTGGATCAAACCGTTCAACATCCACAGGAAAACATACATGAGTTGATTAAACCAGTTTTCATACAAGCAAAACGGTTCAACAACTTTAACCAACTAAATTACACAATAGTAACCGATGAGCATTTTGACCTTTTTTTAAAACTTCTCTACAGTGATGCCGTCTCTAAGAACCTCATAAGCCTCTCTATTCCTGGTTCTCTTCAACCCAGCTGTGAAATGGAGCTTTGATCCCTCAGATGTGATACAGGACACATTTACCCATATAATCACCTTTGTCTTCATCCCCTGGATGTCTTCTAGCCTTCCTTTCTTCAAATATCCAGTTACAATGGTGAAGAAACGCAAAACAGATGAATCTCTGTAGCCCACTTCACAGGTTGCCGGTATGTAGACTGTAAGTTTTCCCGTCTCCTCATTAAATTCATAGTTGGTAGCATCACGAGGAAATATTCCTACTGCCATGTCAAAATCCTTTAGAAGCTCAGGCAATGGCTTTTGCATTTTTCCTGTGAAGATAACACTTATTCTTATTTATAATGCTATGGAAATTTAAGAAAATAACAGACCTACACACAGATTAGAAAAACTTAATAAACTCTTTTCAATCTACTACGCCAACCCAATGACCCAGTTCGTACCGAAAAAGGAGAAAAATAATATAAAACAGTATGAAAGAGTATTAACAGGGATATGACCTAATCTGTACATACATCCTGAAGATAGCAGTTTATATAATCCTTAGTCTAGACCATTAAAGCACCACTCCCCCCTCCCTGGCAGCACAAATACAACTTATATAACTCAATGTTTTTCTTCTGCCTTGTAAAGTCATGTTATTTCAAGAAACCCCAACAGTAAGTTTAAGAATATCAAGCAAGTCAAATCCACATCAAAAGGGTCATATACTCATATTTACCCTGCTCTGCATTAACCAAAAAACCAATTCAAGCATATGAAAAAACCCTTCAACAACCACATTGCATTTTACAGCTCTGTCACACGCTCACTTTTAATTGCCACTATTATCTATCAAAACCCTGAATCAATTTTTAAAATGTCCGAACTTTCTGACTTGCAAAGTCAGTCATATAATAGCATACATTAGGTTAGTGTAACAGGCAAAGTAACTAAACAGAGTGAGCAGAAAAAACTAACCTTTGAGTTTATTAACCAACCATTTGGTTCCTCCTTCGATGCTAGTTTGCAATGACTAATCATTACACAAACAATGTTAGTATACTAATATGTAATAAAACCCACACAAAGAAGTGACGGAACGAAAACAAAACCCCAATTTGGGAAAGTATTAATCTTGACAATTAATATATATGGAATCAATCATCCTTCAGATTCAATAAAACAAAAATTAAACGAACGAGTAAATCTAATGACGATTACGAAAGTGGGTTACGCAAAGAAAACTCAGATCATACAAAGAAATCGACTTTCAGAACCGAAATCGTTAAGAACAAGAGAACCCTAATTGGATCCAAAAGCACATCAAAAATTCAAAACGAAAAATAATTAAATTGAGATCCAGATGGACGTAGAGAGAAACGCACGTTGATATCATCGCCGACGGAGGTGAGCTCCTTGTTGGCCTTCTGGCTGAACCAGTAGGAACCCGCCTTGTTCAAAATCTGATCCATGTAAATTGTTGTCTCTCTGTCTCGGCGATGTGTTGATGGGGTGGAAGGAACCGAGCAGATTGTTTGAGAGAGAACAAGGCTGGCGTCTGCGTCTCAGCCTTGGCTCTGATGACTTCTTCTCAGAAATTCTCTCCCACCTCAGAAATTTCCATCCAATTTCGGACTGCTATCCGCTCGTTCAATATTCTTTATCGCACGCCAGGTCGTTTCATTCCATACAATAGCGCGTATAATCACCTGTGGGCTTTCCCTCTTTTGACCGCGCATTACCGTCAAGGAAAACGACTGCCGTTCGTTCTTCATTTTGTTTTTCGGTCGAAAATAGGTTCTTCATCTATCTATTTTATTTGTTTTGTTTTCGTATACAATTGATTTATAACTTAGTTTTTTTTTTTTTTTTTTTTTGTGGTCAACTTATAACTTAGTTTTCTTGGTTACATAAAAAAATTGTGAATCTTATAGGTTTACAATGGTTTGTATGCACTGTTTGTCCTTCTTATACATATTGGCAGAAGTATTGTATTTAAATTTTTAACCTTTTTTTCTTTAATATTAATATTTTAAAAATTGTATACTTGGTTTCAGATGTGGGCTCTACACGCTATACCGGTCTTCTTTTTATTTATTTACAAATAGTATAGCCGGGCGGCTATACACGGATAAAATTGTTATTTTTTTTAAAATAGTACAGTCGTTCGGCTTTACTACGGGTTTTATAAATAGTATAGCCGTTCGGCTATACTTGGTTTCACACGTCGGCACCAAGGCCCTAGGCTGCTCCCTTTTATAAATAGTATAGCCGAACGGCTTTACTACCGGTTTTTTTCTTTCTAAAAAATAGTATAGCCGCGAGCTATACTTGGTTTCACACGTGGTCACCTAGGCGCTAAACTGGTCCCTTTTTTCCATAAAGGCTGTACTATGTTTTTTGTTATTTGAAAACAGTATAGCTGCGCGGCTATACGCTTTATATATAGCAAGTCTATGTTTAATTAGTTGGGTCAATAGTTAATATATATATATATATTTAATTAATCAAAATATGAGCCTTGGAGCTCTGTGATTTAAATTAAATTAAACCCGATTAGTTATTTATTTATTTGAATTATTTTTAAAATTCAAAAGAAAAAAATACGATTAAATTATTAATTAAGAACAGATATAATATAACAAATTGATGCAACACGCAATTTAAATCATTTTTCATTAAATTGGTCATTAAAATTTAGGAAACAATTGAACTAGTTCTATATATAGCTGATTGATTGACCGACTCTTCTTGGCCTCTAAAGGCCGCTGCCCTATTTAGACCTCGAAAGGAAACTATAAATAGGTAGATAGAGGAAGATATAAAAACAACAAGTTGTGTTTAATTAGTATAATTATGTAGCTGTAGCCTCTAGAGTTTCGTCGTATCCAGAACACTGTTTCTAATCCAAACCCAGGTCCAGGGGAAAAAGCATGCATGCATGCATGCATATAGACTTGATCACAGTGTTGCTGTGCATGGCAATGCCATTCGTCATCAACCTGTGTCATGCACAGGGCACCGCTTACGATTCATCCTTTTTCTTCGCTATGAAGTAATTGTTTTACTTCTTCTTCTTCTCTATCAACCTGTGTCATGGATATTCAGCTACTTACATTCTTTTCTATATATGCAGCTTCGATCCATCGAGCCAGCAAAAAGCACACAAGCATTTTAATTATAATAATGTAATAATTAAGGTTGGTAAATTACTTTTCAATCCCACTACTCGAAAGTAGAAGATATATCTGTGTGTATCTGTGGGTCTTTAAAATATTCTTTTGCAATCCTACTAGTCCAGATTTTTTCCCATTAAGTAATAATATTTCAGCAGTTGCTAATCTCTTCTTTCCTTTGAAAATTATTTAATAGGATTTGGCATATGACACTCTTGGACAAGTTGAGCATCAGATTCATTATTCATAAAGAAGCTCATCTTTTGAACTCCCATGATCCAGTTGCCAAGTTAGACACGAAGAATCGGCACGAAAATGACAATGTTATATCTTAATTCTTAGTTTAAAAGGCTTGATGATTATAACAACACCTACTTGGGAAAGAAGAAGTGCTTTTATGTATGTATCAAAATATAGTTCGTAACTTTAGTGGTTTTATTTTTCTTAATATTGGAAGAGATGACATATTAGGTGTGTTTAGTTCATGTCAAGTGGAAGGAAGTCGGTGTTATATACAAAGAAATTTGTTACAAGAATAGAATCAATCTAGAAGAAAGATATCAACAAGGTAAAATTTGAATAAAGCAACCAAGTGGGTGAAAAATATTTGAAAATATATATCGAATTCGAGGTGAACATACAAAGTGCTTTCATTGAGGGATCCCTCAAATAGGGACATCTTTGTAGGGCCTACTCCAGATTGTATTTCACTAATTCAAACTATCTATTTTGTAGATATTTGTTCAAAGATCATCTCTATAAAAAATCACTTAAATCCGATATCATTTCCACTCAATTAAATTATTGAAATTTTAGTAATTTTTTGCAAGGATGATCTATGAATGTAGACTTAAAAATAGATGATTTGGATCGTTGAAAAAATATTTGTAAGAAACCCTAAAGGATGTCCCTCAAATAAAATTATTCGAAGAATCACTCAATAAAAAGAGACTGGTATATATATATATATATATTCTAAATGGGTCCAAATTTTGGCTCTATGCACTTTGGACAAAAAGGGGTCTCATTCTCTCATACAAACGGCGGTGCATGGAGTGTTGAAGAGTTAACGCTGCCTAAACATGAATATGGATATATCTTATCCATATGGCTTACTTTACACCCACTTGATCCTCATTTGGCAATTGGCAAATTCGCAACGGCATGTCTATTTGTGTTTTGAGATATCTAAACACTATTTTACCTAGCGTGCTTGCTATTTTCAATTGGTAAATATTGGGCGCAATTACCAAAAACCCCATATGAGTTATGTGGTTTATATATTAAGCCATTAACTAAGATTAGGGCTTTACCTTATACAACTTTGAATTGATTAAGGTTGTAGAGTTCCTATCCAAAGGACCACATGCAGTTGCGAATTCAAATTATGCATGGTCCAATTTCTTCAAATTGAGACAAACTCTATTTCACCAACCGGTGGTCCGACAGTGGCCAATGGACCTTTATGTTCACAACATTTAAAACATATGGGAACAATGTTATGAAAGTTTTTATTGAATGTAGAGGTTCGAGATTTGAGAATGAAATTTCATTATCAATATTTTTATTGTTTTCAATTATTACCTTTTATTATTATTTTAAATGAAAATTGAATTCTTGACCTAACCTAACATCCTTATAAATTTCAACTATGCTAGTAGAGAAAATTATTCAAAGTCATGAGTTGGGGAATGGTATTTAAAGGAAATGATAACTTAATTAAATGCTCGTTCTTTTTCATGAGGGTCAACTGGTAATCTAGCGAAATTTAAAATATAATTTTAAAAACAAAAACAAAAACAAAAAAAAACAAAAAAAACCAGGACAGGGTTGTTATGATAACTTCAACGCGACCAACTTGTGCTTATTTCCCTCCTTTTTTATCTTTTTCTTTTTTGGCTCAAAGGACCAACTTGGTTCTATTTTATAAGCCCCACATGAACTTTCATCAATAAAATATTCACCCATTCTTGGCTTTGAAAAATGCAACCAACTCATCTCTCTGTTTGTGCGTGAGAGAGAGAGAGAGAGAGAGTGCATAAGTAGAAGAATTAAGATCAACCACCGGAAAAGCAGAGCCACCTCTACCAGAAGAAGCAGCTGAAAGCGACCACTATTTATTTATACCAAAAACCCAAAAAGCTACACACCAAAATCCTCCCCCACAACACTTAAATTACCCATATGCCTCCCAACCCGCCCAAATCCTCAGTCTTACTCCACCGCATCAACACCCCAACGTCCGCCGCGTCCAATACGGCGTCGCTGCAGTGCCAAAACCAAAAGGGCGGAGGAGCGCTTCTACTCGGTAACAATAATAACAATAACAAGAGGCGGGCCCCACTCCCAGAAGCGCTGGCGCGGCACCACACGCACGCGGTTGGGCCCCACCAGTGCTGCTCGGCCGTGACGCAGGAGATCGCGGCCCCGGTGTCCACCGTGTGGTCGGTGGTCAGGCGCTTCGACAACCCGCAGGCCTACAAGAACTTCGTGAAGAGCTGCCACGTCATCGTCGGCGACGGCGACGTGGGCACGCTGCGCGAGGTGCGGGTGATATCGGGGCTGCCGGCGAACAGCAGCACGGAGAGGCTGGAGATCCTGGACGATGAGAGCCACGTCATAAGCTTCAGCATGGTGGGTGGGGACCACCGGCTCTCGAACTACAAGTCGGTGACGACGCTGCACCCATCACTTGCGGGCGGGACGGTGGTGGTGGAGTCGTACGCGGTGGACGTGCCGCACGGGAACAGCAAGGAGGACACGTGTACGTTCGTGGACACGATTGTTCGGTGCAACCTCCAGTCACTGGCTCAGATCGCCGAGAATTTAGACCGACGCAAGTAATTATATGAAGTAATGATTTAATTAATTATATTATACCTTAATTAGCTAGTAGCTTAATTAATTAGTTTCTTCTTCCCTTCATGTCTGTCTGTCTGTCTGTGTCTGTCTAGTGAACTAAGTCAGTGGTTGCCTATTGATGGTTATACGCCATCGTTTTGTGGTTCTTAAAGTTGAAATCCGATGAAACAGTCACAGTCACAGTCAGAGCCGCGGTTCAATGGTTAATGTTTTTCAATTAATGCTTTATATTATGTACATATATTAAGGGAATTATCTATTTTCAATGGTTTTGGATTGGTTTGTGTAAATCCCATATTAATTATAATATATTAATTAGAAAGAAGATAAAAAGGGACAAAATGTTATATTGGCAGACATGCAATGCATGATGGCTGTGACGAAATGGTGTTACAATTGATGTGAAAAGAAAGAGCAGGAAGGGAAGGCAGGCAGCTAGGCAGCCTATTGTTTTGTTCATTAACTTTTTTGGTTGATTGATATATGCGTATGGCAATGGCAGTACTGACTGAGTATACTGAGGCAGTGGGGGCTCTGCTATAGCAAGAAAACTTACATGTAACGAATACAACACAAAAACACGTGGAAAAGTTATATTACATGTTATTGTGTTATTGGTCGGGATAGTAAAAAGTGTTATTCCTGTTCCATGGGAGTTTCTTTACTTGGCTAGGTCAGGTGCACAGTCTCACAGCCCAAGCATAATTAGAAGGGCCATTTAATTTAATTAATTAAGCTTTAAGAGTGTGAATTATTTTCTTTTTGTATTATATGAGATATTATTATAAGTACTAAGTAATGATCATGTAGATAATGTCGATAATCAGATTGATCGGTTGAAGGGTTAAGGTCTGAGTTTAGTCAAGGGTCTGTGATTAGCAATTGAATTAGCATGGTACACACACATACGACTAGCTGTCTGTGTGTCTGCGTGTCTGCGTGTCTGGTAGCCAACCTTGTTAGAATAGAAATACGTACAGTTATACTATACAGCTGATATATATATATATATATATATATGTAGTGAAAATTAATATATGATAATAAAACTTGGCGATGAAAATGACCTAGAAATGTTTAAAACAATGGGAAAGCTGAAAAAGAAGGTGGCAAGTAGAAAATGAGATAGTGAAAGGGAAATGAAAAGCTAGGGTAGGAGTGAATAAAGGAGAAGAAAGCAAAGCATATTGTCGTGTTGTATGGAATGGAAATTTTGGAGCGGTAGAATGAAAAGCATGCATGGGGTTTTTTAAGCATATTTGCATTAAAAAAACCGTAGTGAACAACGTGACGAGAATCAATATCTAATTTCCATGGCCTACCCCACCACCCTTGCAACTTGACTTTTTGATAACGCAACTAGCAGCTTGATGAAGCTTCGAGCTTAGCTGTTTGTTGGAAAAAAGAGGAAGAGAAAAGAAACATGCAAAGCAATATTTAGTTGCAACTTGCTGTCCTCTCTCTCTCTCTCTCTCTCTCTCTCTCTCTCTCATAGTCATTGGGGGTTAAAGAAATATGCAAGTTGGGTTGGCTTAAATGGTCTCTTTTGAATTGCTGTGGCTGAGATTGTGAGTTTTGATTGTTTTTGTTTGAATGGGACTAAATATTTGCAAGTTGGTGAGCAAGTGGGAGGAGGGAGGAGAGGGAGGAGGAGGGATGGCTTTTTAATGATACCCGTGTATTCTCTCTTGTCTACTTTTCAATTCCTTCACGCCACCCCAATCACCCCATATGACCCGTTGCATCTTCTCTCTCTCTCTCTCTCTCTCTCTCTCTATTGCTGACCTGACTGCATCATCATCATGGGTCTTCTATGGTTTTTTTGCTTTTTCAATGGAATTTATTGACAAATATTGGGATTACATCACTCATGACCTAGCTACCTGCTTCAAAAATTCATCATCTCTCTCACCCAATTCAGTTCATTCAAGAAAAATGAAACAAATAAATAGAGGGTTGCCTTCCCTAATTAATACTTTTGGGTTTGTATATAATTTTCTGTTATACATACACAATAAATTAGCTAATACATTTCAAAATGGATATTAACAAATTAATCTACATGGATCAATTCTTACTTTCTGCAGTCAACATTAGCGTCTTGGAAAAGATAAAGACTTACATGAAATATGCTATATATTTCTCGTCAATAACGTTATAACACGTGTAATAATACTTTTATGTGGCATTACATTAGGGATAACAATACAATGTACAATTTTTCTCCATGGAAAGACGGGGAATTCACTTTTTCTTTTCAATTTTCCCATCTTCTTTTTCTTCAGCTAGCCATTTTGCTTTTAAAACGTACGAAATAAGTAGTAGCTAGGGAACAAGGAGGGTGACATATATATAGCTAGAATGGGCATGCCAGTGAGGTGTTTTGGGAGTAGGGTAGGGGATGCCATGGATAGCCCAGAAGATGCATCTGGATCTATAAGAGGGTTTTTGAGTTTCCTTTACGACACAACATTTTTAGATGTGGAGATGTCAACCACATATTTTTTTCCAATGTATTTTGGCACCTACATTTTCAGCTAATTACCCTAAAATCTTAATCACAGCTAGCTTGTTGATCAGACCAGTCCAAGTCTTAGGCCTTTCAATAGGTTCAATCCAACCAATTGAACAACAAGAGTTTTGAGTGGTGTCACATCCAATTAGCCAATTTTCTATATGATCCAATTACTGGTCAAGGGG